AAAGCAAATGTGGAGGAAAACAATCAATATAATACAGCTTTCCAGGAGCAACTCCTCCTGGGATTTCAGTATTGGGAGAGGATCCTCCTGTAAAACAGGCTTATGTAACAGCTCACCAGGAGGGGCTCCTACTGGCAGGCTGGTATTAAATCCATCTTGTGCTGGGAACAACGGTGGGCCAGTTACGCTAACTGTAGTGTTAGTGCAGCGTAGTGTTAGCTTTTTAAGCTACGCTACACAAAAGTTACTGTTAGCGAAAAATTTGGCTCACTAACACTACAGGATTTCTGAAAAAACAAAAAAAAACTTTAGCGTAGTGTTAGCTGACTAAAAAAAACAACAACTAACACTAACCAAATCCCTTGTTGGTGGAATTTTAGCGTGGTTAGTGGGCTAAAAAGTTACACTAACTGTTAGTGTAACTTTTTGATAAGTTACACCAACTGTTAGCGTAGTGATCCCCTCAGTTACACTAACTGTTAGCGTAACTGATCAAAAAGTTACACAACTGTTAGCATAACTGATTACTGAGTTACACTAACAGTTAGCGTAACTGATTACGCTCCTCCAATTGAAAAAAGTAGGTGGTATCACTAGGGGTGAGAGTTTGTTTGAGAATCTGGTTTCGAAGCTCCTGTTTTTTTGGCTTGGCACTGTTTCTTTGCTGCTTTCATACTGGCATTATTATTACTATCAAGAGATAAATTAGTCCCCAGGGTTTGAATCACCCCAAGATCCATTTATTCCATCATTTAGTAGCCAGCTGCAGGAAAGGGAAACAGGAAGAGTAAGAAGAAGCAAAAAATTAGATCAGCAACCTGCGGAAGCTTAACACAAATTTGAAATCATACCACTTTTTTGGCCCGTCCTGTTTGTAATCCACAGTCAATGGTCAAGAAAATGTGTCTGGGGGTACCTAAATCAAAGAGGGGGGAGGTTAGCAAGCATCAGAGCCAGGGTAGCAGTCTTCTAGTCTGTTCCCTTTTGGGGAAGCGATTGATTTTTGCTGGTTGACTTTGAGTAGCGATAACTTTTGCAAAAAAAGGTCCAATTTCCTTAATTTTTGGTTCGTTGGAAAGCTGGCATCAAGGGCTACAGCTTTGTCGGCCATTGTGTTGACTGAAAGCAAACGGTTGCTGAGATCGAATTGATTGAAGTTAGTCCAATGCAATCCAATGAGAGACCTAAGTTTCAGAAGAGGGAGTAAGCTGAAGAGACTTTTGGATTGGAGGATATAATGGAGGTGGTTGTGATGAGTATTTAATTGAGATGAAGATCAGATTGAGCTTTGATGAAGTTGATGATGAGGATGAGGATGAAAAATCTTGATGGGGTCTTGCTTGGATCGGAAGAGATTGGAGGTCCGACATCCATCTCCCCTTGCTTGAACTTCAAGTTCAAACTCAGAGCCCAGGGAGTGAACATGTCACAGGCATGTCCATGACATCCTCTTGCTGACTGAACCTCAACTCACCGAGCCATTCCTCATGTACTGCTAGTCATGTGGACAAGGAGGATGTCTGGAGATGCTACTAACCTGTCATGTCAAGTGTTCAATTCCACCTCAAGGCATGCATTTGTGTTATTTTCTCACTTGAAATTTTTCATTTGTCCACCATTGTGTAGTGTAGCTTAAAATATAGTGTAGCGTAGTGTGGGACCAGTTACGCTAAATGTTAGCGTCAACTCAGTTACACTATCTGTTAGTCAAAATTTTGTTAGTGAAAAAAAAGTTACACTACCTGTTAGTTTAGCGGTGATTATTTGAAGCTAACACTACAGAAAATTTGAGAGAAAAATTCGACGCTACGCTGGCAGTTAGCTCAGCGGTGTTTAGCGTGCGCTAACACTACAGATTTTCTAGAGAAAAAAAAGGCCGCTACACTAACAGTTAGTGGTCAAATAGCGTAGTGTAGTGTAGCGGCCCACCGTTGCTGGGAAGTATAGTCCTTCCCAAAAAACTGAATTTTTAACCAGCTTTTTAATCCTCCTGGAAAGCTGGGATTTATACTTGCTTATTGGGGGAGAATCCCTGCAACAAGCAGTTTTTGATAACAGTTTTTCAGGGGGAGCTCCTGTAATGTTGGCATTAAACACAGCTTGTTGGAAGGAGCTTCTGAAACATTGGGAGTAAACCCAGCTCATTGGGATGAGTTCTTGATTAGTTGGTATTAAACCCAGATGAAATCCAGTTTGTTCGGAGGAAAACCTCCTAATTTGGTGTAGGCAGCCTAAACCTCATCAGGAGGGGTTCCTTGCAATGAGCTGGGTTGAATAACAGATTACCAAGAAGGAAACCTATGAACAAGCTGCTATCTGACACAGTTTTTTTGGGAGGGAATTCTCCCAACAAAATGCATCAAGTAATGGTTTTTCAGGAGGGATTCCCACCAACAATTTGATTTTAAATTCAGATTGTAAGGAGGAGTCCACATTCCCTCCCGGATGGCTGGTGTCAGAACCATCTTGTTGAGATCAATTCCTTCCAATTCAGGGAAGGTTCTTGTTTGATTAAGGGGGCATGATAACCCCCTTGCGCACGCCAGGTGCGGATTGGTGTGTGCACCTGCACGCCAAAGCAAATTGGTGTGCGGGCCCGCACACCAATCTACAGAGTGTAGACCGGTGTGCAGGCCTGCACAGTGCACGTCAAAGATTCCTAAATGCATATGTACACATATGCATTTAGGACCACTGCCATCCCATAGGACCCAGGCATGGGTCCTATAGGACGGCGCGGAGAATCCTGAGAAAAAAGAAAACAAAAACAAGGCTGGGAGGGGGTTCCTCCCAGCCTTAGACCATAAGCTCATAGGTTCATGTCAGGAGGGTTTCCTCCCAACAAGATGGCTTTGAATACAGCGCATTGGGAGGAAACCCTCCCAATGAGCTGGGCTTGAGACCAGCTCATCAGGAGTAAAACCTCCCAATTAGCTGGACTGTGTAGCAGCTCATCAGGAGGAAACCCTCCCAGTGAACTGGGCTTAAGACCAGCTCATTGGGAGGAAAAACTATTGATGAGCTGGTGTCAAGCCCAGTTCATCAAGAGGGTTTCCTCCCAATGAGCTGGACTGTGTACCAGCTCATTGGGAGGAAAACCTCTCAATGAGCTGGTCTTAAGCCCAGTTCATAGGGAGGGTTTCCTCCCAATGGGCTGGATTTGAAACCAGCTCATTGGGAGGGGTTTCTCCCAATGAGCTGCTATGAGTTTATAGTCTTCAGGCTTTGAGGAAACCCCTCCCAGCCTTCTTTTTTCCTTTTTTCTCATGATTCTCTGCCGCCGTCCCATAGGACCCATGAAAAAATCATCCTCTCGTGAATTCAATTTAGAAATTTTGTTGTCTCATGATTGAGTTTTTTAAAGCTCATCTTATTGATTGTATTGTGTTTATATGAAGAAATTACAGTTTTTTTTTTTGAATTTTATTAAAACTTGGGTAATTTTGAGGCTGTTTTTATTGTACTAGGGGAAATGAATTCCAGAATCTATCTGAGAAAGTATTAGATTTAGAACTGGAAATGATAAGTTTGATGAAATTGACTGGAGTGAGAGGATCTAAATCTACAAAGAATATCCTGATCTGATCAAGAGACTTTCAAACTTTTATGCTGGGGCTGCAGAAAAAATCATTCTGTGCTGATTCTATTCACTATTTCTGTAAATTAGAAGTGAAATAAAAAACTCATCACATGAGGAAACTCTAGTGACTTTGATAGTATTTTATTTTGAATTTTGTCTGAATGTTGAGTGAAAGATATGAGAAAATTGGTTCCCAATACTGTAAAAAATATGGGAATTTCAGGTTTGTTACCAAAGTGATTTTTTGTGATTTTTGTTTGATTTTATGGTGACATGCAGTCACTGGGCAACCAGTGCCCTGAAATTTCCCCTGGTGGGAGTTGTCAACAAATGCTTGGGAGTTGTTTTTCCAAGGCCCTAAATAAGTTAGAGGTTTTGGCAGTTTTGTTGTGTGTAACAGACTGGACCACCACACCAAGCAGGTTAATAAACTGCACAGCAACAACGGTGAAACAATGCAATGCAATGCAATAAATACCCATGTATCGGCAATGCAATGCATTGCATTGCATCAAAAAAGTGACACATTGCATTGGCATTGTATCAGAAAGCAATTCAAACCAATGCCACCAAATTATAGTGTATTGCTTCACACTGCTTTGCCAATGTGAGACCAATGCTGATGCTCTGTATTGAATAAACCAATGCAAGTGATGCAATTTGAAGCCCCCACATTTCTCTCTCATTGTGATGTGATACAGGCCCAATACAATGCAATGCCTATGCATGCATCACATCATTTACATTGTTGACAGCAATAGGTCTTGCCTTTTTTGTGAGCATGTTAATAAAATACTCAATGGAAGGCAACACCCATTTCCAAGCTGGTTAATAACCTGCTCAACAAGCTGCTGGGTGAGACAACTTCCTCTTGTAAAGCATGTAAATAGCCTGCATAGAAAAAGGCAAGACCTCTTGCCCAGAAGGTCATGGGTCATCCCCACAACTCCCAAGCCAATGTATATTTTTTCTCCACCAACTCCCACAATTCAATCTGTTGTAGGTGTAAAGCCTATGGTTTCATTGCTCCCCCGGTTCCTCCTCTTAAACTCTCAATACTCCAAAAGTGGAGTTTGTACACCAGCACAACACCCCCCCTCAAACTCCACTCCAGGCCTACAACTGTTATGAGATAGAAAATAATAATAGAGAAAAAAATTGAGCATAAAAAATTTGACAAGATAAAAATGTGTGTGTTCAATCAGAAAGAGAGAAATCAAAGAAAATAGTGAAAAATAGCTGAAATGAATGAGAGAAAGAAAGAAAAAGATAAAAGAAAATTATAAAGAAAATATAAAAAGAGAGTGTTTTTTTTTTTTTTTTGAATATTTTACCCATTGAAATTGAATGTAGATTGGCTTTGAGAGGTTTGGTAAAGAAATCGGCTATATTCGATGATGTTGAAACCCAGTCCAGTTGGATGTTGTGTTCTCGGACCGCATCATTGACAAAAAAGAAATTGCGCTCTAAACTTTTCATTCGACCTTTTGAAGCGTTGTCGTCGGAAACCAAAACTGCAGCCCTGTTGTCACACTTGAGTCGTAACGGTGGACTTAACCCTAGAGATTTCATGATTGGAATGAGAAACAACAAGAAATTGATGAGAAGTGACCAAGGCGCAGCCCTGTCACTGTCGTCCATGGAGAACGGCCGGCTAGCGACAGGCCAGACGGGGCCAGAGCGCACAGACCCTGGCTGGAACTCAGCGCTCGGACCACCTGCTAGGATCTGCCTCGAGACGGGTTATGATATGAGGGCTCTGCGATCCACTCATTACCCCCTCCTCCCCGGCAGATCTTGTCTTAGCTAGTCGATAGCTGTTTTTCATCGCTTCTACTAGACTTTTCCATCACCTAACGCGGTAGCGTTTTTCCTTTTTCGCTTTTTAAAGTACAGGAATTCCAGCCTACATTTCCAGTCGTCACGACTGAAGATCGTTTCCAGTGTCACGACGGAAGATTAGTTTAGATTTTAGATAGGAATTCCAGGCAAACACCCTGACGTATTTACAATTTCCATCCCCAATTTCACAATTGAAGAACAAGTAACTGAAGCTAACTGAAGTTTTTGTTGATAACCTGTCGATACTTTCCAGCCTACATTTCCAGTCGTCACAACTGAAGATCGTTCCCAGTGTCAAGACGGAAGATTAGTTTAGATATTCGAAACTGCCGATATCGCCTTGTGAGTTGAAGTTAATAGCTATCATTGAATCATTGACTAGTTAATGGCTATCATTTACTTATTGCGATCACTTACGATTACTGTCTTTGATTTTCCGTAAGGGCTTACCATGGAAAACAACAAAACAACGCGGTCGAAATCAAGCGCGCGCAAAGACCCTGACGTACTTCCAGGTGGCAGTTCTTCAAACCTTGCGAACCCCGTAAAGGGAGCAGAGACAAACCCTCCTAAGGGAGCAGAGATAAACATCATCGCCCCCACGAGCGAGCCTCCTGACAGCGATGGAGAAGGATCCGTCGATCTAATTGCTAAAAACCCAATCCTATCGATAGAGACCATGAAAGATGTCATCACAAACACATCAGTCCCACCAGACGAAGATTTAGCCGCCGAACGCTCATACGTTTGGACAAAGATGAAAGAGGCACAAGCGATTGGCGACAAAGTTTTAGCGAGAATCCTCCTAAAAGCCTACAGCGATTTAGAACCAACGGTAGGCGAAGGTCCGCCCAAATTGACCAGATCCATCTCGGCCCTCCCAGTGATGACGCATTTGTCAGAAGACACCTCACCGTCAAAGAAAATCATGCTTGAAACTGAAACTGAGCTGGAAGACAATTTGGTCTACGCGGTAGGCGCGGTTACGAGTCATCAAGACATCGGGTTTACCCCATACTTCGACGATAATATAAAGAAGCTGAAAGCACCTTTACCTTTGACCATATTCGATAGAGGTGAGTAATGTCTTATGACATCTAGTCGACCCTTTCTCACCCCTCTTATCGGAGTACGAGTCCTGATGACTGTTGAATCATTGATTAAAACAGAGTGGCAAAAGAAGGCTTTGACAGCCCATTTAATGCTGAAACCATCAAAGAACTCAGATGATAAAGCATACAGAGGCCTAGCTTATCACGACGAATGGACTCAGTCTCATTCTACTTGGACGAATAATCATCGGTCGTTTTACATCACCTTGAGAGACGTCTATAATAAAGGCATATTCGCGGAGAAACTTAGGATTCACAAAGAAAATTGCGACGCGATTTCAGATGTCTACGGATTCATGACAGCTTTTCGTTACGACATGCAAATACGTATGAACGCATTCGCTCATCGACTACCGTCAAAAGACGGGGCGGCGATTCCTGACATTTCGGTTAAACAATCAGTCGTGGTAGAACAGTGTTATAGTATTGTCCGCTCTTACGGTGAAGCTGCCTGGAAAGATAACCTATACGCCCCGGGATCGTCTCATGCAGCCTACGACCCAGACACCGGCGCGAAGAGACCTGAATTGATCAAATCAGTATCTTACCCGTCCAGCCAGCAACACCAGAACACCGCGTTTTCGGGTCGCGGGAATCACCAAGAAAGGAGGAAAGAAAAGAGATGGAATAATCAAACTATCGGTTGGGGCCATGGCTATAATTATTTCAATCACGGAGGCGACTATCAACAACCGACGTACAGTAATTACAACAACAGCCAATATAATAATCCCGGATCACACGGACCCGGTAACACCTTTCAAGATTTCAACCAACATCAGCAATACAATCGCGGAAATCCCAGCTATAGCGGTGGTAATAATGCTGGTTACAGTGGTGGGAATCATATGTCCGGTGCTGGAGACAGTCGCAAGCGCTTCAGAGGTAGTGTAAATAACTCACATGAAGGCGGTGAGAAAGGCCCAGGGGGGAAGTTAGGGAATCAATCTGGAGGGAAACAGTAGGTTTCTACGCGCTCTGAATTCGTTGTATTTTGTCAATTATTCTTTTTCAAAAATTTTGATGTTATCACGCGCGCGTGTTTGTCTTGGTCATATTTTGTTTGTCTTCTTCCCTAATTATAGAATGCTTTGGCCGGAAGAAATAAAATGCGAAATGAATTTGGCTGAGTGGCAACTGGCCCTCGCAGAAGCAAATTTGTTACCTGAGCTAAACCACGTACTAGAAGGTTTTAGATTTGGTTTCGACCAAGGGATACCTATCCATAAGATAGGTAATCTACGGTGGTATACTCCAGACAACCACTCCTCAGCTTGCGAAGCAGCAGAAAAAATACAGAAATCGATTGAAGAGGAGGTGGCGAGCGGGAGAATGTTCGGACCCTACTCGCACGAGGAAGTAGCGCAAAGATTCTCGTTCTTCAGAACAAGCCCGTTAGGGTCGGTCGTGAACGCAGACGGTAAAATGCGGCCGATTAACAACCTATCTTACCCAAAAGATGATGCGGAAGTAAAGTCGGTGAACTCCTTTGTTAATAAACACAACTTCTCAACGACCTGGGATGATTTCAAAACTGTCTCTTCTTTCTTCAGAAACAATGATGGTATTTATAAGCTAGCGTTATTCGACTGGGCTAAAGCTTATAGGCAAATTCCGACATTAATGTACCAATGGCCATTCTTAATGGTGAAAGACTTGAGTGGGGGGCTTTATATAGACACTAGAATAACGTTTGGCGGGGTCGCCGGTTGCGGGTCGTTTGGCGTACCTGCAGACGCTTGGAAACGCATAATGGAACATGAATTCGACGTAATAAAAATTTTCCGATGGGTCGATGATAATCTTTTCGTGAAGAAAGTCGACTCAAAATGCAAGATGCAAGAGATCACCGAGAGATCAGTCAAATTAGGAGTAGCAACTAGCATCGAGAAATGCTCAGATTTCGACGATGAACAGAAATTCATCGGTTTCATCTGGAACGGAGCCGTGAAGACTGTCAAGTTACCAGAGAAGAAATTGGCAAAAAGGAAAGAACAAATTCAACATTTCCTCGTTGAAGGCGCAGAGTTCAAATTCAATGACGCCGAAATCCTGGCAGGACGTCTCAACCACGTATCCTTCATCCTACCTCAGTTAAGGTGTTACATTCGAAGCATCTACAGATGGATGAACCAATGGAAAAAGCGTTGGGCGAGAAGGCAAATCCCGGAAGACGTGAAAGGGGATTTGGAATTTTGGTTATCGACTCTGAATAATTATAACCACACAAGATTATGCCCCGTGGCTGACGCACGTGAGATACATTGGGTAGGTGACGCCTCGACGAGCTTCGGGATAGGGGTCTTAATCGGCCAAAGGTGGACCCAACTCAGGTTAAAAGAAACCTGGCGGATAGCAACCCCACCACGAACGATTGCCTGGCTGGAGACCGTCGCCATTCGCATAGGGGTCTTAATGTTACAAGAGATACGCGGAGATACAAAGGGGTCCAACTTCATCGTGTATACCGATAACACTACAACGGAAAGCGTGTTGACATCGCGGAAGTCAAAAGATCATCATTCCAACGAAGAATGGAAAATGATCCAACACCTATTAATCAGCACCGAAATGGATTTGACCCCGTTAAGGGTCATTTCGGCGGAAAATAGCGCAGACGGGCTATCCAGAGGCGTACAACGCCCACATACAGCGGTAAACAGGGTCTGGATAAACATTCCAAAAGACCTTCAGGAATTCATGTTTCACGCCTGACGAGTTTTTATAGCAATAGCCATGTACATAAGTAGTCTTGCCCACGTTTCCATCAGTAGTTTTTAACCCTCCGCATATCACATCTCCCTCTTATAATCGCCAAATGTTGTCAAATATAACTAGCGACATCAACTTCCATAAAATCAATGTTTTCCTCCGGGACGGAACGGAAAACAGACACCCCACAAAAGTGGATATACATCTACTTTCGGCGTGGAAATCCTCCACCTTAACAGGGTACGCCAGCGCGGTCTCTAAATTTGTCCGATTCCAAAAAAGCGCCGGGGTGGGCGTTTTCCGTCTGCCAATATCGGAAGGAACTCTAGAGGAGTTCTGCATCTGGGCAGGACGGAACGCAGTATCTTCGAACGAGGGGAAAATCTCTTCAACCTCCCTACGGAAATACATTGCAGGCCTGAAAGCCTGGCACGTGTATCATAACGTGGCATTCCCAACGGGGAACAAGACGAGGATCGACCTACTTTTAAAAGCGTCGAGCAGGGAGGATGAGACGGCAACTAGAAGACCCCCCAAATCACCAATAATGTTTTGGCATCTATCACACCTGTGGGTTAATCTGGTACACGGCGACGATTTCGACAAAGCGGTACTGGATATGGCAGTGGTCGCCTTCTGGGGACTCGCCAGGCTCGCCGAGCTGACGTACACCTCGGAAACCGGTGTCATAAGCTTCATGAATTCGCTGTTAACGACAGACGTAACTTTAGGATCCGACGCCGTTTTCGGCGAAACAGCCACCCTGACACTGCGTAACGCCAAAACAGCCTCGCCGGGTCACCCGCAACTAATTACGATCGCGGAACAGAAACACGTGTTGTGCCCGGTCCTAGCCATCAAAAGGCGACTGTCTTCGGCGGAGGGGAAGAGAACATCACTATTTGGTTACGGCCAAGGGGATAATAGGCGACATTTGACCAGACACCAATCGGTAGCCCGGTTGGAGACGGTGCTCCTAGACGGCGGGTACACAGGCCTCAAGGGACATTCCTTCAGGGTAGGGGGCACGTCCTTCCGCGCAGCTTTCGGTATGTCGCATTCAGACATTTGCATCCTGGGCAGATGGAAGTCAAACTGCTACAAGCTGTATCTCCGGGATTATTCCCCAGGCGATGTGAAGAAGAGTAAGGCCCTAGTCAAACAGTTCAAGCGTAGTTGGTCACGGATGGTATCTTAAGTCAGTCTTGTTTTTGGGGATTTTTCCCAGGGCAGTTATGGGTTTTTTCTCTCCACAGATCAAGGCTCCCCTGGGGCATCCTAGATTTTGGGCTTTGTGTTTGAGAACAACCCCTGTCTATTTAGAACTGCAATACAAACCATTACCACTACTGTTCGGCCAGAAGGGAGGCCCCATTGGCCAGACACGCCCCGCCTCCCTATCTCTTTCCCATACACGCATAAAACTTGGAGTCGCGGCGAGCGCAAGACTAAAGTAAAGGTTTTATGCGAGTGTCGACCAGGCTAGTAGAAATGGATGAGAAGTGACCAAGGCGCAGCCCTGTCACTGTCGTCCATGGAGAACGGCCGGCTAGCGACAGGCCAGACGGGGCCAGAGCGCACAGACCCTGGCTGGAACTCAGCGCTCGGACCACCTGCTAGGATCTGCCTCGAGACGGGTTATGATATGAGGGCTCTGCGATCCACTCATTACCCCCTCCTCCCCGGCAGATCTCGTCTTAGCTAGTCGATAGCTGTTTTTCATCGCTTCTACTAGACTTTTCCATCACCTAACGCGGTAGCGTTTTTCCTTTTTCGCTGCCACCCACCCACCCTTGTTTGGTCACTTTCTGTCTTTGGGCTCAAGGAGGCTTTGTGCGGGCTTTGTGTTTGAGAACAACCCCTGTCTATTTAGAACTGCAATACAAACCATTACCACTACTGTTCGGCCAGAAGGGAGGCCCCATTGGCCAGACACGCCCCGCCTCCCTATCTCTTTCCCATACACGCATAAAACTTGGAGTCGCGGCGAGCGCAAGACTAAAGTAAAGGTTTTATGCGAGTGTCGACCAGGCTAGTAGAAATGGACCAAAGAACCTAATGATATGAATTCGGCCGCACAAGTTGAAGTCGGCCGGCTAGCGACAGGCCAGACGGGGCCAGAGCGCACAGACCCTGGCTGGAACTCAGCGCTCGGACCACCTGCTAGGATCTGCCTCGAGACGGGTTATGATATGAGGGCTCTGCGATCCACTCATTACCCCCTCCTCCCCGGCAGATCTCGTCTTAGCTAGTCGATAGCTGTTTTTCATCGCTTCTACTAGACTTTTCCATCACCTAACGCGGTAGCGTTTTTCCTTTTTCGCTGCCACCCACCCACCCTTGTTTGGTCACTTTCTGTCTTTGGGCTCAAGGAGGCTTTGTGCGGGCTTTGTGTTTGAGAACAACCCCTGTCTATTTAGAACTGCAATACAAACCATTACCACTACTGTTCGGCCAGAAGGGAGGCCCCATTGGCCAGACACGCCCCGCCTCCCTATCTCTTTCCCATACACGCATAAAACTTGGAGTCGCGGCGAGCGCAAGACTAAAGTAAAGGTTTTATGCGAGTGTCGACCAGGCTAGTAGAAATGGACCAAAGAACCTAATGATATGAATTCGGCCGCACAAGTTGAAGTCGCCACAACTTTCTGATGTCGTGAACCCCACGCAATCGGACTGCCTAGAAATGTGATGATGAAGCCTGATGTCGACCGTTGAAATTCTCCACCCCAATTCGCATCCGACCATGTAATCAATTGGTCATCTGTGATTTCCAATTTCAGTCGTTTGTCCCTTGTTGTAGCGAGGTATTGAATGAGATGTGATAAGGCCGCCCAATGAGTGTCATTTGGATTGGAGCTGAAACGCGCCAGATAGTTAACCGCAAAGCTGAGATCGGGACGGGTGCCTAATGCGAGATAGTTTAGCGAACCGATGAACGATTGATAGAGTATTGGTAAGACTGGATCTCCCCAGTTGGTCACAAGATTGTCGCCCAGTAGGGGGGTGTAAGTCGGAATCAATTGATGCTGAACTTGTTCTTTGAATTTGTTGATCGTTTGGTCCACCAGAAGATGTTGACTGAGATGAATTGAATCATCGGAATAGTCCAGTTTCAAACCTACAAGTTTTTCAGGTTTTGAATCCCACTTCACCCGCAAACTACTTTCAAGATTTGACCAAAGTTGATTTAATGAATCATTATTGTTGCTGAAAACAATGCCGTCATCAACGTGAATCCAGATTATGATAATCAAATTCCCTTTTCGATACCGGTATAAACACTCCTCGACTTCGTCGCATTCAAAATCCCAACCATGTGAGAGGCTCTTGAAGTGCTTCCACCAACATCAACTAGCTTGCTTTGTCCCGTATAGTGCCTTCTTGAGCTTGAGAGCCTTCCCAGCAAGATGGGGAAATAACTCAACCGGAGGATCAACATAGATTGTTTCGTCGATCGGGCTATGTACAAATGCCCCTGTTATGTCAAAAGAATTGATTATCCAAGTATTCCTAATGGCAAGCGTAAGAAGCATCCGAAGCGTTGTGAGTGAAGCCGTTGGAGCAAAAGTTGAGCGGACATCGATCCCAAGTCTCTGCTTGAAACCTCGGACTACAAATCTTGCTTTCAGTTTATCCACGGATCCGTCTGCTTTCCGTTTGATGTCAAAAACGAACCGAGTTCCTATCGAATGTTTTGAGTCACGGTCCTCCACGTCAAAGGTTTCGATTTCCTCCAGTTGATTCCACTCAATTAAGCATGCTGTTCTCCATTTGTCTGCATTCGGGGATTTGAGAGCGTTGCGGAGAGTTGTTGGGATTTCTGCATCTGAGATAGATTGAAGATGGTCGATTTGAGAGTCTTGTTCCTCACAGATTTCTTTGGTTGGTTCCTTGCCAAGTTGAAGGATTCTACGAATGCAAGGTTGGTCAGGAAGTTCTTTTGGTGAAGGAAAAACAGTTTTGTTTTGGAAGTCTAAAAAGTCTGCACACTCTGAGTTGATGATTTTCTTGGTCTCTGGATTCCAGAAAAACCACCCGCGTTTGTCATCTTGATAGTCAAAAAGATAACCAGTCCAGCCCCGCTGATCTAGTTTGCGCCGCCGCTCCGTAGGAATGTGCACTGTGGCTCTGGCACCAAAAGTATAAAACGAGTCAACAGCCGGTGCCCGGTCTGACCAAAGCTCTAGAGGTGTAGATTTGCAGCGCGAGTTTGAGAGTCGATTGGTAAGAAAACATGCGCAGCGATAAGCGTAGGACCATAATGAGGAAGGCAGTTGTGAGTGAGTGAGTGTGGTGCGAGCTATATCACCAAGCGTTCTGTTGAGTCTTTCGGCTTCACCATTTTGTTCGGGAGTGTATGGTGAGGTGAAGATTATTGTGCAACCAATGGATTCCAAGTAATCTTGTAGTGCCTTGGTGGTGTATTCTTTGGCATTGTTGCAACGTAAGTATTTGGGGGATGTTTTGAAGTGAGCCGTGATACGTTTAAAGAGAGAGATGATAATGCCGGGAACTTCTGAACGTGATTTCATTGGAAAGACAAACGAGTAGGTCGTGGCATGGTCCCTGATTGTAAGAAGGAATCGATGGCCTTTGGCGTCGGGATCAAGAGGTCCCAACACATTGGTCACCAGTAGATTGAGCCGGTTGTCTTTAGGGATTATTTTGGGAAGAGAGTGGCGCCTTCGAGTGCTTTTTGAAATTTTACAAGATTCACAAATGAAAGGAGTCCAAGTCTTGATGTCAAATGTTGGAACGAAACGTTTCAGGTAGTCCTTGACGACTTGATCAGACACGTGTCCTAATCGGCAGTGCCATTCGTAAGAGGGAGAAGAGATAAAAAGAGAATCCGATTTTTTGACTGAGTTTATTGCCGGTGTCGGATGTTGCCATGAGTTTGGGAAGATTATCCAGGATTGTTGGGTGTATTTGGCAATTACTGAGAGGAAAGAAGAAGTTAGAAGGATGTCATTGTTTGGCAAAAAGGTTGGTTTGAATCCTGAGTCGATGAGTTGGCCAAGGCTAAGAAGTGTTCCGGTCATTTCCGGGCTGTACAGAACCCGTGGAATCATTAGGGAACCATCCCCACTGGTTATTCTCAGGTGTCCACTGTGGGTTGCCAGCATTGAACCGTCTGAGGAAGCCAGATTCAGTTTGATTGGAGGACGAAGAAATGTTAAGTTAGAAAAAGATTGGAAAGATCTGCTAACGTGATGGGTCGCCCCAGAATCCAAAATTGTGCCTGCATCGGCAGCACCTGTCGCACCCGCATCCACGGCCAACCGAACTGCCGCATTCTGGTCAAGGCCGGTGGGTGGGCCGTTCAGAGGTGCAGCCTGACGGGCGAAACCGAAAGCGGGGCGACCTGGGGTGGTGGTGTCGGGTGGCGGCAAGTTGGCATCCCTGCGTAGAGTCGGACATGACGATCTCCAATGCCCCGATGCACCACAATAAGAGCATGGTTTCCCATTAAAAATAGTCGGGTCACTCGGACCGCGATTACCTTTACGAATGTTGTTGATGGCAGCTGCAATGTCATTGATTGTTGGGTTGCCTGGTCGTCCGACGTTCTGTTGTCGATTGTTGGTGTTGGCGGGGTTGGCTGAAATCGGCTGGTTTTGTTGATAAGGGCCACGTCGGGGGTTGCGAGCCGGATTATTGGTTTGGCCTGGGCCACCCCAAGCTGGTTGGTTGGGCCATGTGCGGAATACCGAGATGCCGTTCAAGGGTGATGAATCAAATCGTAAGGCCTCACCGTAAGCCGAGGTAATGATAGTTTGAATATCGCGGGCCGTAACGTCAGCCTTGTTGCCGAGTTGTACTGAGATGTTCTGGAATAATTGTGATCTTGACATTGAAGATGGCGGGGGAATGATGGATTGGAGGATGAGGCTCTCCACGAGAGGTGAAAGTCCAGCACCCGCATTCTGAAGACCAGAGAAGGTCTCGAAGATCTTGTTGAACAGACCTGGAATTTGGGTCGGACCGGTTGTGGGTCCCGATACCCGGAACTCGAGAAGTTTATCGATGAGTTCCATTTGGCGAAAACAAACGGTGCCCTGGAAATTGGATTGTACCGCATCATACGCTTCAGTTCCCTTAGTATATTGGTTGACAAGGGACAATAATTCATTGTGAATGGTGATTTGGATAAGGAAAAGGAGACAAGTGTTTTCTTGTGCCGTAAGTTTGGTATAGTTCTCCGTCTTCTCGAAGAAATTTGCATGGCCGAGAGTGAGTAATATGATACACGTGAGACCACGCTTCCATTTGTCAAAGTTAGAGCCGTCGGCCGCAAGTTGTTCAACATCTTGTTTGTATATGCTTGGTTGCTGAAGAAATTTAGTCCTGGGGGTGATCTCGGATGCCGTCGATGCTGACATTGGATGAGGTAGGTCGATCGAAGGTGTTTGTTGAATGGGAGGTTGTATTGCCGTGGATGATCTAGGAGGAAGTTGGGAAGTATGATGTGGTAAGGGAGACAAGAAAGGAGAAGGAGGTCGGTGGACGTTGGTATAAGTAATTGGGGGTGTGTGACGTGGAGGGTCGTTGCCAGTCTGATCGATGCCGGAGATGCTGAAGTTGCTTAGGTTTTCAATAAGCGCAATGATTTGTTCAGGGGATGAATGATCTGTAGAGCCAACGTTAGGCGGAGTTGGTGGAGGTGATGGAGGTAGAGGGGGAAGTTTCGATAGTCGCCGGAAATCTAGTTTGCGTCGTCGATCAAGAATGGATACTGGTTTGCGATGGCGAGTTGGAGGGGGTAATGGGCCGAATAGGATGTCTTTTGTCGAACGCCGAGTATGTACCATATAACTTGTTATGTCGGCTAGTTTGTAGGGTAGAGCAATCTACTCTTAATCTGTTGTAGGTGTAAAGCCTATGGTTTCATTGCTCCCCCGGTTCCTCCTCTTAAACTCTCAATACTCCAAAAGTGGAGTTTGTACACCAGCACAACACAATCTAAAATAATATAAATTTAATAATAAGACAACTCCCATTCCCTTTGGGGGAATTAGTAGGACAACTCCCAGAGCAGTCCCAGGAATGTTGGGAGAAATTCCTCTATTTGGGCAACGGTGGGCCGCTACACTAACCGTAGCGGTTAGTGTAGCGTAACACAGCGGAATTCCCATTAGCGTTAAGCGTAGCGTAGCGGAATTCCGCCACGACACCGCTAACGCTACGCGTGTGGGCCACAAAAAAGGGCCCACTACGCTGCGCTACAGCCGTTTTTAGCGGTTTTTAGCCGCTTTTTCCGCTAAAAGCGCTGTAGCGCAGCGTAGCGTAGCGAAAATGCGCTACAAAAGCGCTAACACTACAAAATTTTGGCGCAAAAAAAGTGCCGCTACGCTACGCTTTTTGGGCCAAAAGCGTAGCGGCCCACTGCTGATTTGGGAGTTGTCTTCAAATGACCTTTGAATATAAATAGGGGCTTGGTCAAACAACTTACAAAAAATGGAGAGCCGACTCCCAAGCCCCGGATTCCCTGAAAAATGGGAGTCAAACCCCAAAAATATTGACTGGTTGGGGAGCCAACTCCCTAAAAAATATTAAAAAAGAAAGAAAACACCTGGTCGGTCTGGGAGTCAATCCTCCCAAACCAACCAGGGTTTGGAGGTCAATGAACCAGACAACCCCCACGGCAGTGGCCGGGAGGATTCCCTCCTGGCTGCTGAGGTACACTCTCAACAGCCAGGATTTTACCCCTCGTCTACAAGAGTGTACACCTCGATGGCCAAGAGGAATACTCTTGGCTGTCAAGGGTAAACACTATCAACGGCTGATGGAAGCTGCCTCCGCCGTCAAGGTGTACACACCTCAACGGCGGAGAGGAATCCTCTTGGGATGTTGTGGGTGTACACACCCTCAATGGCGTAGAGGGAATCCGCTCATGCCGTTGTGGTGTACACACTTCAATGGCGTGAGGATTACTCTTGGCTGTTGTGGTGTACACACGGCATTGGCCAGGGGTACACTTGATGGCCTTCAAGGAGTGCCCTTAGCGGCCAAGGGTTTCCCTGAGTGCACACATTGATGGCCAACAGGCATCTCTTGGCCATTGAGATGTGCACTCAGAGGCCAAGGTTCTCTCTGAGTGCACACCTTAAAGGCCTTCAAGTGTACCCTTGGCCGTTGAGGTGTGTACACCACAAGGGCCAAGGCGGTTCCATTGGCTGATGAGAGTGTACCCTCAACGGCCGAGAGGATTCCTCTCTGGCGTTGAGGTGTGTACACCTCAACGGCCAAGGCCGCTTCCATCTGCTGTTGATAGTGTTTACCCTTGACAGTCGAGGGGATTCCTCTTGGCCATTGAGGTGTACCCTCTTGCGGACAAGGGGTAAAATCCCATCCGTTGAGTGTACCTCAGCGGCTGGGAGGGAATTCTCCCTGCCGCTGCCGTGGGGGTTGTTTGGTTCATTGACCTCCAAACCCTGGTCGGTTTGGGAGGATTGACTTCCAGACCAACCGGGGGTTTTCTTTTTTTGTAATATTGTTTTTAGGGAGTCGACTCCCAAACCAGTCAATAGTTTTGGGTTTGACTCCCATTTTTTGGGGAATCCGGGGCTTGGGAGTTGGCTCTCCAGTCTTTGGCAGTTGTTTGACCAAGCCCCTATATATATTATAACATAACCAACCTATTTATATTAGGACAGTTCATGCTGTGCCAAGTTTGCTCCCATGCTTGAATAACTTTTGTTGTTTGTGCATGATTTTTGGCAAAGTTTACTTGTGGGATTTTTGCTTCTAGTAGGAAAGGGGAGCTTCCCTGAAATTTTTGAACACTTTCTTAACATATCAGTAGAGGTTTGTTTCAATTATGAGGTTTACTACTAATAATGTCACAATACATAAGAACCGCCAGTCAATAAAATACCCAATCCGCATGATGATTTCTTTACATTTAAACAAGAGCTTCCAACTGAACAAAGACCTTGATTCAACTATTAAGTTGACATGAGGGTATGCTCACCAGGACCAGCTGAAGTTACTGACAGACTGGGCTTTTGATTTGGATTTGTGATTGGCTGGATATTGGATATATGCATGGCTGAAGAGGAGGCCTGATATTTTTGGTGGTGACTTGACGGGGCTTGGCGGGAGACCTCTCTGGCACCGGCACGGCATGATCAGTGTCCGCCATTTTTCTGGACGACCTCCTCTGAGCAGCTTGACTGGACTGACTCCTGATTGGACGACTATTAGCTCCTGCAACCTCGCAATCCCGAAGGACTTAGGCCGGCGAAAGTATTCGAAAATGGGCGAACCGATCGGCCCAGCCCCGTCGTCCTCCTCGATAGCCGACTTCCACAAACGCCCCCTTTCCGGATTGTTTGCGATCAATAAACCTAGCGGAACGATCTCGATGACCTTACTAGAATCACTCAAAGAATTGTTCTTATCGTCCAAGTTATTTGTAGACAATCCAGAACCATTTCAGATCGAGAAAACAACTGGGGTAAAAAAATCAAGGAAGAATAAATATTGGCAGAAGAAGAACCAAGCCAAAGCGATCAAGATCGGCCAAGGGGGCACCTTGGATCCCCTAGCTAGTGGCGTCCTGATCATCGGCTTAAACTCCGCCACCAAGAAATTGTCCAATTTCTTGGATTGCTCTAAGGCGTATCGGACCACTGGTATCCTGGGATGTAAGACGGACTCGTACGATTCGGACGGCAAAACCGTCGGATTGGCTGCTTGGAAACACGTCAAGCCGGATGATATTCGTAGGGAATGCGGATTGATCAAAGGCGAACATTGGCAAATCCCACCAATGTGCGTTTATCCTTTTTTTTGTCACAGAGAAAAATTGGAGTAGGGAAGGTGAGTAGAAAAAAAGGAGAGTGAATACCCAACAATTTTTGTTATTTCATGATCCGGATTTGCGAAAAATAAATAAATAGTTACTCAGCTTTAAAGATGGACGGAAAGCCATTATACGAGTATGCACGAAAAAACATCCCACTTCCACGAGCGATCGAAGCGAGACGATGTGAGATCAGCGAGATCAGGATGGTAGAATGGAAAGAGGCCGACGAACATGCCTACAAATGGCCGACGAAAATGATGAGCGAAGAGGATTCGAAGATCTTCCAACGAGCGGAACATTTGGTCCAACAAACCGGCGTCGTCAAGGGCAACAACAGCAGCAGCTTAGTCGTACCACCAAAACAAGAAGCTCAAGAAGAAACGAACACCACACTTAATGAATCATCTAAGAGAGAGCTTCCGCTAGAACAGGAGGCAGAGAAGGAATCCAAGAAGATCAAGTTGGAGGAGGTCAAGGAGATCAAGAAAGGCGAATCGGACCAGCCAAACGATCCCACAACGCCCAAACTGGAGGAAGGGAACGATCCCAAGATAGTCAAGCCGGAGGACGGATCCAGTGGAGTTGACGATGCTCAATCGTCGACCAATGATCCCCCGACCGGACAGGAAAATACTGATGGTGTCACTATGGAAGACAACGGTAAATCACCCGTGTTCACGCTAGAAATGACGGTCTCTTCTGGGACATACGTCCGGACGATAGTGCAGTACGTGCCATCCAAACCAAGCATGTTTCTTTTTTGTCTGAAGTGACTATTTTTTACTGAGATAAAGATGAATTGATTTGGACAGTGACATTGGCCAAGCGGTCTCATCAGCAGCCACCGTAGTGTCCTTGATCCGGACCCGTCAGGGCGACTTTTGTCTAGACCCTCCTCCCAAGGATCCTCACGGCGACGATTCTAAGAGCTTGGGATGCATCGAATGGAGCGTGTTTGAAAGCGCTATTCAGGCCCGGTCTAGTGGCTCGGATTATCCGGTCGATCAGGCTGGTTTTCGGGAATGGGAACGAGAACTCTTGAAACATATTCAGGTTTAATCGCTCTCATCACGTGAGTCGCGTTTTGCTGGAGGTAATGATTGCTCGCATTCTGGTTGGACTGCTTCATAGAGCTCAAAATCTGATAAGAACAAATGAGCAAAAAGGGTTTCCCCCTCCCACATGAACAGCGCAAAATGTAATGTATAGCTACATAGTTACCCAAAAACTTCAATTTGATTTTCTTCCTCAGTCTGGTTTCAGTTTGTGTCACTCACAAAGAAGACATGAACTGAGTTTGTGTCACTGACAAAGAAACACATGAAGTCTCATTGGCCCTGTCTTTTTCTTCTTCTCAGGTCATACTGCTGTGCATTGAAGCTGTCAAGTTATGGCAGAATGATTGGTACCACCACCAGATATTGGCTCTACTGGAAACCCCTTTGGTGAGGGAAATCTAAAATGAATGAAACTTGACTTATACAAAACTTCAATCCCCCAGATGGAATTATCAGAGGGGCCGTGTTGACTTGAAAAAAAGGAAAGGCTGAAAGTGGCACAAAAAGTGATTTTCAATATCACTTTTACAGGATGGATTGTTGGACCAATGATGGTAAGAACCTTGTAGTAGCAAGCATCTCTTGTTTTGACAGTATAACATGATTCTACTACCAATGGACTAGGTTTGAATCTATCTTGTAGTTTTCAAGCCATTGTAATAACTGGAATCTCCCTCTAACTGGAATCTCCCAACTTACTTAGCAGGGACCAGGAGGTATGCAACTTACTCTCCATCCCAACAGGCTTGTGGACCAGCAATTGTTTTTTTTTTGCTATATATCCCCACTATTTTTCTTTTTTAAATTCTCATCATGTATGTACATGTTGAAAAGAAGAAAATGTGTGAGATCAGACAAGCAAAAAAAGAACACCCCATGAGACCACTTCGACTCTCTTTCTTTTGCTGCTTTTGTATACATAATTCTTGATCTCTGCTTTGAAAAGAAATTCAACATGATCAAGAGCTTAATTGCTTACGTGGTCAGGGTAAATTATCTACTGATGTTTGTATATATATATATATATCTGTGGGTTTTTCTTTGTGGTAAGGGTATCTCCGAAGAAGAAACGAGAATTTGAATATAAGGAAAGAAAAATGATAGAAAGCATATTGGATAGGGAAAAACGACACGGCGGTTCTTGAAATCAGAAAAAATGGGGGGAACGAAAATGAGAAAAGTAATGAAAGAAAAAAAAAAAAGAATAAATAAAAACACAGAAAGGGAAAAAAAAAATGGTTTGAAAATAAAGTGGAAATAAGATCCAAGACAAAAAAAAAAGAGAAAGAATCATTTAATTCGATAGAACGACATGCCGATTTTACATTTTTCGACGGCATCAGCGAGGTCTCTTTCGTCCTGACTAGACCACCTGAGCTCGCCACCCTCAGGCTCCGACGCAAGAGAGCCATCTTTACCATCCTTGATTCCACTCTCAACAGGCGTGGGTTGAGCGAGATTAACGAGGGTGGCCGAGACGCCACTAAGGTTATTCTGATGATGATGATGATGAGGGTTACTATTGTTAGGGAGCGATTGTTTCTTGAAGGAGCGTTCGAAGCGGTTCTTCTTCATGTTCAGTTGGGCCATCGTCCGCGGGTCGGAATGGCCATTGATGATGATCAAGGACGTCCCTTTCGGTAACCGTTCGTTTAACTTGCTGATCGTCGAATCTAAACTCTTGCATAGCTTCTTCACCCTTTCTTCCCTTTCTGCTTCTCCCTCTTCTTCTTCCTTTTTCTTCTCTCCAGTCGATGAACTCTCATCATCATTATTATTATTCCCGCTTTCTTGCTCTTCCTTCTTGGTCCCATGGGGTTGTGACCCTAAAAAAGTTCATCATTATAAAATAATTAGCGGAAAGTTAAGTGAGGTTCAAACTTGTTTTGAGATGTAAAATTGATGTGGTCTGGTTTTTTTTTTTTTTTTGACTTACAGCCAAGACAATGAGAAAGTTCCATGAAACGGCCAAAAACAAAATCATGATCATCCAAAGCTGAAATGATTCCGTCGGCAACCTTTACAAGAGCAAAAACTGGATGAATAAGAGGGCGAGGGTTCTATCTGTCAAAGCATTCATATCATTCAAATTGGAATACTAACTTCATGATCGGATCCAAAAGCAAAAGAATCGACGTTTTTCCAATTATTTTTGATGACCAGATTATGAACTTTCTGATTATCATTAGATGAAGGATTAGAGTTGGAGTTAGAAGCAGGAGAGCCACCAAAGTCGACGAGAGCGGAGCGTTTCGGCAGATTACCGCGAGCCATTCGCTCGAAGATAGACTCATTATCCGACGTGAATTCACCGAAGCCCAAGCCTTTCTCCATTTTTTTCTTCAAGAGTTGGACGGCGGTCCGGGCGTCTTCTTCGGAATCGTGGCCCCCATTCGGCAGCCCATTCGATTGGATCTCTCGGCCTAGCCATTTAGAGGCGAGCCATTTCAACGACGGTTTCATCGGCAATCCGCGCGGATGTTGATAGATCACACTCGTGTCGATCACCCATGGATGCGCCAGTTTGAGGGCTTTCAAATCACAGTCCAAGGAATGTCCGACCAAGACGGTATTGAAGTCGATCAGCTCCGACAATTTCTTTTGGACATCAATTAATCGGGTCGTGATCCCTTGCAAACGTTCCTCAGTGATCCCACTAAACCGGGTCAGATAATCGGTGATCGGTTGGTCGGGCAAGACCAACTGATCATACACCAATTTCTCATCCGCATCGACGATTGTCACTCGAGTCAATTCGCTCCCCGCGGCCGTCACACACATCTCACAATCGACTCCGAGAATCTTCAGCGGTCGTCCAAGAGATGGATCCGGGTAGATGGGCGTTTGGACGTAGCCCGGTTGAGGGTGCGTTAGCCATGCTTCGAATGGAGGCAGCGATGCTGATGGCGCCGAGACTGCCGGAAGGGGGTGTTTGGCTCTCGCTTGGCGTCGGTCTAGCGTCGAAAGTGGGGGCTGATAATGCAGTGAAGGGTAATCTTGATCAATCATGTGTTCGGTAGAAAGTAAGTGCGTAGTTGGGTCCATCGAGACTGCATCCCTGGAACCTATCATCAAGTCGGACACACGTAAGTCAGTTTTCTTTCCCAAAAACAATTGGATAGATAGGTAGTTCTACAATAATGGCTGTTTTCTTTCACCCCTCCCCCCCGGGTTGAATAAAATGAGTGTGGAGAGATCATTTACTTTTCTTTCGATCCTCATCACGTTTGACTTTAGCCATTGCAGATAGAGGACAAGTCAAGAAGACGTTAAAGCAGCTAAACATTCTGAGACGATCGCCTCCAGCCTTGGTTGGACAGGCGTGACTAAATAAGGATTGGAGGATTGGGAGTTGAGAGTTCTTGCTGGCAAGTGGGAAGGGCATGATTGACGATTGGTCGGGCTTGGAGATCCCTAGTAGGTCATGGCTGATCCCTGGTATCATCAGGACTACCATCCTTTTCACACTACTTTTGTTCTACATAGTTCAAGTTCAAAGGTTCAGATATTGACTACGTATGGAGTGGTGGAATGTGAAGAAGTTGTTTTGCGTGTTGAAATAATGGGAATGAAATTTAGTCAATCAAATCTTACTTTGACTAGCATCCATTCCTGATTCCGTTCATCAGCCATGATGCTCAGGACCAAATCTCGAACATCCTGAAATTAGAAAAAAAAAAAAAAAACACGGTTGATTTGGATGAGAATTTTGATCTCAAAACGAGCTTGGGTATTTTCGAGACAAGAATGCTTACCTTTAGTTGAATCATTCTTCCATGTCGAAAACCACGAGTATCAAAATGAAATTCGGCGGGATTAGCCAGCTGTTTCTGGTTTAATTTTTCTTGTTTCTTCAATTTAGATTTTGACAGTTGGCTCTCGTTGACTGTGAGATGAGTCTGATTGCTTCTCTTCTGATTCTTGACGGTCGTCCAGCCGGCATCGGAATCAAGTTCAGAAGGCTTGGCATCGATCTGCATGGTATCCTGTCCTGTTCTTGAATCAGAATTTGAATCCTCCGAGTCTGGGTCTGAGTCTGAGTCTGAGTCTGAGTGCTTGTGTGCTTCTTCTTGAGTCTTGTTGGTGGTCTGTTCTTCTGTTGGTTGGTCAGTTTTTTTAAGCTTAACTTTCTTGGATGAATGGCTTTCTGGTTTGGTTGAGCTAGTAGTCCCTTGATCCTGAATCCTATCAATCAGTGAGGAAGTTGAACGACGATGTTTTCGTTGAGAGGTGGAGGAGTAGTTGTTGAGAGATGAATCAAGTGCCATGGATGAAGCAGATTGGTTGAGGTTGGTGAGGATCCTTCACTAGAGATTCGATCAAGTGTTCTTGTTGTTGCTCGTTTTCCAGCTCGTGGATAGTCTTTTGATGCAGTTCGTGAACTTCTTCGGAGTTGTAGATAAGTAGCAGTTTCCCTTGGGTTGGTTGGTTGGTTGGTTGGTTGGTTTTTCCTGATTTTTGATCAAGTGGGAACCAAAATTCACACATCTGCTGCTGGGCCGCAGACCGAGCCTCATTCGAGCGCGCAGCCGAAAACTCCAATGTAAATGCCTGACCTGTCACAGCTGGCCAGCAGGCCTTTCACCTGGGACATTTCCTTCAATAAGAGATTCCCTCCGAGGATCAGGAATCAGGAATTGGAATGGGCTTTGGGCAACCCCAATACCCCATCAAAGCTTGCTGGGCTTTTTCATGACTCAGATCTCACCATGTTTTAGCATGCAAGATTTTTCTTTTCATCTAATCATGCCAAAAGAGGGAAAAAATGACAAAAACTGGACCATTCAATGCTAGACCCAACACCACCTCAATTAATGGTTGGAACAAGCTAGTCTGGAAATTTTTCAGACAGAATATGTTTGTCAAATAAAAAGAAGGCAATCACAGGGTTCATAATCAAGCTTTTGAATGCTTGCTTTTCTAAAAGCAATTCTTGTCTGGTTCAGCTTGGGTATTAAAATTGGGGCTTGGTTAATCAACTCGCATATTTAGGAGGATCAACTCCCAAATGTGGGAGTCATTAGGAGGACCACCTGCTGGGACAGTCCCCCATCCCCAGCCCCAAGAACCTGGCTCCCTCTAAGCCTTGGGAGTTGTTCCTCCCAATCTCCTGCAGTAGGAATTGTGAAAACTAGATGAATTTTATTGCTAAAGAACCAAAACCAGACTAAAAGAAAAACAATTTTTAGAAAGAACAATTGAAGACACTAAAGATTAACCGATGAAAGATGAGGATTTACCACTTTGAGAGTTAAACAATGTTTAAAGAACAACTTAGAACTTTTATGAGGCAATGCAGAAGAAAGGACTGAGTAACGATAAGAAAATACAAGATCAGCTTGAGACTTGAGGATGGATGATGTTTCGTCTTTTCTCACCAAATGGAATCAGGCAATGTGATCCTTGTTTGAGGAGAAGAGTCGACGAAGTCGAGTGAGATTGTGAGTCGACGAAGTCGAGTGAGATTGAGGGTCGACGAAGTCGAGTGAGATTGTTTGATGAGAATATTTGCGATTTGAGTATTGGGAAGTACGGATTGGATTGATTGAAGGTGGAGTCACTCTGGTTGAGTTGAGAGATGAGAAGCAAGTGAAGGAGCTGGAAGAAGTGCGAAGAAGTCGCGCTTTTATACTTGAGAGAGTAGGATCGATTGAGTTCAGACTTGTGGGAGAGATAAGATTAGGTTTGAGATTCGAGATTCTGCTGCGGTGGTTTGAGCAACGCGGATTTACTTGAGGGTTCACAGAAGGATCACACGATATTTCAACACCCCCCGCAATTTGATGAGAAAAGAGCTTCTACCAGAAAGCAGTGTTCTTTCAGCTTGTTGAGAGAGGTGTTAGAACTTGCTTTGGTTAATGCGTCCGCTATCATGTTTTCTGAGGGTATTAGTTTGACTGAGATTTCGTTGTTGTTGTATAAATCTCGCAACCATTTCATTTTTATATCTAAATGTTTTGTTTTTGAGTTGGAACCGAAATTTTTTATCTTTTCGATCAGGCCTTGATTGTCGACGTGGAAGTTTGTCGGGCTCAACTTGTCATCATATAGCTCTTCAATGAGATACTTTATCCATTGATTTTCTTGTACACCGTCCGATAGTGCGTTGAGTTCCGCTTCCGTAGATGATAATGCAATGTTCCTTTGTTTCTTGCTGTTCCATGATATGGGACACGCCTTCCAAAAACAGATAGATCCGCTGCGAGAGAGCCTGGATTCTAGATCATCTGCCCACGTTGCGTCCGTATAGTGTTGAATTGCGTTAGTGGTATCGGAACAATTCGGTCGGAGAGTGAGAGAAAGATCAATTGTTCCAGCTAGATATTTCCAGCAGTGAATGATTTGTCGCCATTGTTGTATCCCGGGTTCATTGTTGAAGCTTGACAGTATCGAGACTGCGGGTGCGAGATCGGGACGAGTCCTGCAGGATAGGTAGTTGAGCATTCCGGTATGAGATCGATAGTTGATTTTTAGTTTTTCGAATTCATCTTTTTCTTGTTGCGTTGGAGTCTGAAGTTGTATTCCTACGGACAACGGAGTATTTACAGGGTGACATTCCTTGATACCGGCTAATTCAAGTCCTTTTTCAATGAGCTTTTTCTGAGAGAGTTTTACACAGTTCTCGTCGTACTGTAGGTCCATTCCAAGCAGCGTGTCAGGATCGTGTGCGGATGAATTTGGAAATCTTTTTAGAAAGAGTTCCTCGAATTGCTCGACTTTTCCAGTGACAAACAAGTCATTGACATGAAAGAAAAGATAAGAATGTTTGTCTTTGTGAATGAAGACGCAAGGATCCGCGGCTGATTGTATGAAGTCAATTTCTGTAAACCAAGTTGTAAGGGTGTTATACCAGTTGGCAGGAGCCTGTTTTAGACCATACAATGATTTTTTCAATTTAAGGAAGGGGGCCTTGCGTTTTGAACCTTCCGGCGTTTTAATGTATAGTTCTTCTTCCAAGGGAGCAAAGAGGAAGGCGCTTTTAACATCGAACTGCCTAATTTCCAAGTGTTTGTCTAAGGCAAACATTAGAAGAATTAAGAGAGAAGAAAATTTTCCGGTGGGTGCAAAAGTTTCTCCATAATCCTTTCCTGGTGTTTGCATGAAGCCCTGAATGCATAGTCGTGCTTTCTTTCTTTCTTCCGCAGATAGTGTAGATGGTTTAGTTTTGAAAATCCACAGAGTACGAAGAAATGAGCCGGGTTGATCATACATATCTTCCCATACGTCGTGTCCTTCGATGTTGTTTAATTCCTCATCAGCGGCCTTGGACCATAGCTCCTTCTTATCAGATTTCATAGCCATTTTGAATGACGTCGGATCTCCCGTTAAATGACTGTATTTTACAGGTTTGACTTTGGAGGTTCTGTCTCTCAGAGATCTGGACTCAGGGGCATTTTGAGGAACTAGCGCGTCTTCTACTTCTGAGTCGTTGTTGTCCGAATCCGGATATTCGTCAGAGGAAATGGAGATAGTGTCTATCGTTGCCACTTTGGGAAGTTCAGACTGCGAGTCAGATTGATCATTTTCGGAATCGGAGGGTAGATCTGATGTTGATTCAGCTGGATTTTCATCTTCTTCCATAATGACAAAATCATCGTGATTTTCTGATGTAGAAGGATCCCTCTTGAATTCCAGGAACTGAACATGATTAGTCTCAATGATCCTTCCGTTATCAGAAATAATTCTATAAGACTGTAGTTCATCGTTGTATCCGATTAGTTTCCCTAATTCTCCTTTTTCAAAAAGTTTCATTCCAGAGCGCTCGGGTTGTATTAGATATGACATTCTAATTCCGATTGGTTTGAAGTAGGATAGAGGGAGAGATCAATTCTTAAAAAGTTCAAAGGGAGATTTGTTCGATTTATGAGTCGGGATTTGATTTAGGACTAAAGTGGATGACTTGACCAGTTCATTCCACAGATTTTTTGGAAGCCCAGAGTCGCTGAAGACAGCTCTGATTGACTCAAGGATGGTTCAATTGAACCTTTCGGCGAGACCGTTTTGCTGTGGTGTATAAGCGTCAGACTGTCGAGCTCAAATGTTGTTTTTGTTGTAGAAATCCATCAGTTTGTGATTAACAAATTCTGTACCTCGGTCTGAGTGCACGACAGTGGGGTAGTATCCGATCCTTTTTTGCTCAAGTTCAATGGCTTGAATAATTGAGTCAGCAGCATCATTCTTTCCTTTTAAAGGAATGGCGGTGCAGTATCTAGTGCATGCGTCGACTACCGTCATGAAATATTTATGTCCTTCTCGAGACTGAGGAGATATAGGTCCTACGAGATCTAGGTGAAGTTCTTCAAACGGTTTGGACACTACTGATCGTCTTTCGCGAAATGATCCCTTGGTGATTTTTGACACGGCGCAAGCTTCACAAGAGATTGTGGGTTTGACTGGAATTCCTAGCTTGTGACGGATGCGGTGATAGCTGACATGTCCAAGGGATTTGTGGAGAATTTCGCTGGTTGAAAGGAGGCTAATGTGGTTCTTAAACTCAAGAGTAGGAAGATTTCCTATGTAGTTCCCTTTCATAACGATACAGTTATTTTTGTATATCGAGAATTCATTACGATCAAATTGAATGTTGTAACCGTCTAAAACTAAGCATCTGACTGATAAAAGATTTACAACTATGTCTGGAATGAATAGGACGTTTGTAAAAACTAGACTACCATATTCGTTTGTCAGTGAGATGGATCCGTTTCCTTTTATCTTCAACGATTCCGAGCCTGAACTGGTGCGAACTATTCCGTCCTCTTTGAGATTAAGTTTGGTGAACAGATGAATGTTGGATGTCATGTGAGCTGAGGATCCAGAATCGAGTATAAAGTTTGGAAAGGGGGCAGTTTGAGACGAGTGAAAGCTGCTGACATTTACTTCCGATTGATTAGATCGGTTAGTGGGAGCCCTGGATCCAGGTGGAGGACGAAGATGCGGATATAACATCCAGCACTTTGAAATTGGATGAGTCGCCATAGTGTTGTGAGCTCCAGTCTTACATTTTCTGGACACATCGGTAAACAACGCAATTTGGGTCGGAACTGCTCCAGAGGTGGCGGCAGGATTCAAGTCTTGACTGTTGGCATAGACTCAAAGATGGTCGAGAACTAGGTCTGGAGTCATATCCGAGTTGGAGTGAGTGACAGCGGTCGAGAGTCCATTTAATTCGACGGATTTTGGAAGCTTTTTGAGAATTTCATAAGCGATAACGTCCGTATCGATTTTAATACCGACTTCGTGCATTTTCTCAATTGAGGTCTTGACCTGA